TTGAGGCTTGGGCTTTTTTACCAGTTCTTTTATATCCTGTTTAAAGACTGAAAATAACATACTTTCAACTGTGTAAGAAACCTAGATGCATTCCTTCCATTCCTTCTTTATCCTAGATACTGTAATATCAATTAAAACCCAGCGCTGTTCAAAGGAGCTTCCTATGTAAAGCAACACCAAACACGTTCTTTTTTAAGACATCAAAACAACTTAATACCTTGAAAGGAGACACTCTAGAGGAGACAGTGTACAAATACAAAACATTGGTTGCTTTTCCTTTCCCGTTGCATAACTTGAGAGTCAAATGAATAGCTGTTTAATTGCCATATACTATTGTTATGTTTTGAGGGTGTGGATGCCAGCCAGTCACATTTACCTCCCACACAAACGGGATTTCACCAGAAGGAAAATAAACGTTATAAAACTTATTTTTTCTTGAAAACTGACTTCCTTCAGGAAGAACTCTGGGAGCACTGGGGGCACTGCACATACCCAAAGTAGGTTCCATCTCTGTCGATGAAGTACCTGCCTTCAGCATCCGTGGGGATGTAGTGCCTCCCGCTGAACATGGCTGCCAGCATGGTGTCCTCGTAACGCCTCAGGGTGGACAGTCTCGTGGTAAAGTACATCCCTCCCACGTTCAGGGGGACAACTTCTGGAAACTGCAAAAGCAATCACATCATCAGAGAGGAGCCTCCAGCCTTTTGCAGGGTTGCAGCTTCCAAAACACAGCGTGCGGTCTTTGCCGCCGTGACAAACTCCTCTTGCCTGCCCTGTTGCCACAAACCAGAGAGGTTTGAGGGTTAACAGCTTGGATACTTTGGCTTCTGGTGGAATCAATGAGTAGTTTAATTGTAGCTGGAATCTGAAACAGCAGATTCCACTCAGCTTTAATGCCAGATATTAATTTAAAGTATTAACGCCTCCTCTTGGCTCCCCACCCTTACACAGAGACAGACACACATGCAGAGCTAAAAAAAAAAAAAAGGGAAGAAATCTCAGGCCAGCCTTGGGACTTGCACTCAGTTTCTACACTGTGGTTTCTTTACACTGCTAAACCATACACTAAAAATCCCCAGTGATTTTGTATTTACATCAGGCCTAAAATCTTAGTATTACACTCTAAGACGCCTGAAGTACCAGAATAAACACTTCATTGTATTTCTCAACTCCAAACATGGATGGAACTTACAACTAAAGCCGCCAAGCAACTGAAATAAATTCAAGAGACTTAGTTTTATTCAAACATTTAGCTACTAATGGAAACTGAACTGGGCATCCACAAATAGTCCAGCAAATAAATCCTGGATTCTTTGGCAGCTGAGCAGTGCGTGCTGCCATCACTGGACCTTGTCAGGTGAGCAGCACCGGGGAGCTCTTACCTCCTGGGGCAGCAGAGGTAGAGCTTGTCCTGCCTGGGTTGCAGTAGGAGTGGCCGGCTCTTGGAAATCATCCTCTGCATCCGAGCTCGACATGGCATCATCCGGGTTTCCGCTCACTTTGTTCTGCCCCGTAACTACCACCATCCCTCTGGCTCTCGGGAGCAGGTCTGCTGGGTAGGCAGCCGTGGCACTGCTAAACGGGAACACAAACCCCGGATCGCCTCGGGCTGCCCCCGCCAGCCGCGGGTCGGGGCGGGCGGGACGCGTCGCTGGCCGCGTCACCCCGAGGGCTCACAATGGCATCGCTACGGCCGGGAAATGAATCACGGCACGGATGGGACCCACACCGGGGGCTCGGGCTGTGCAGGAATGCGCTCGGCAGAGCTGTCCCAAGGCCCTCCAGCCCCGGAGCCGCTGTCAGTGGCTGGGTAAGAGCCCGGCATCCATTGGCTGCACAGTGCAGGGAGCGATTGGCTCCGCCGCGCTTTTGCAGGAAAATGTCATTTGCTGGGTGGATTTGGGTGGCCGCTGGCCCAGCCTGTCCCTCGCCATGGGCGGGATGCAGGAACACGTCCTGCCATTGGCCCCGCGCCGGGCGACACCCGCGCTCCGTCTGTCACCTTCAGCCGCTCGCCGGGAGCAGGGACGGGCACGGGCAGGCTCCGCTCAGCATTCCCTGGCAAATTTTCCAATTGAGGTTTCCAACCAGCCGGAGAAAACTGATGTCTCCGTGCCCACCGCACCACATCTCATCGCACATGAACGCGCCCATCTGACACACGTGTATTTAATTCTGCTTATTATTCTGCGCATTTACTGCTAATTATCCATTTCCTTTCCGGCACAGAGCAGGCTCTCACAGTCCACCTTCAATCTCAGGACGGGATGGACTAACCAGCTGCACTATAAAAATAATACCTGAAGGAGCAGAGCAGCAAAGAGGAGGAAACCCTGCTGCTCCCTTTACGCTGCATTATGTAAAATCCCTGTTTCCAGGAATGCTGTGGTGCCTCCAAGCAGCATCACAATGCCATAACAAAGGCACTACCAGAGGCTTTAGCTCTAACCCTGCAAGCTCCTTCTCTGAAATCATTATGAAATATAAAAAGAGAAGGATTATTTACACGAGCACATCTGGTGCGTTTATTTATTGACTAAACAAATGTTTCATAAAGGGTGCTTCCCATCAAAATCAGCAAGAAGAAATGACACAAAATTTTGAAAGACATGATTAATTGTATAATTCTGCTAATACAGTGCACTGTGCACATCATCAGCCCATCTGTAGATCTCAGCTCTTAAAGGAAATGCTGCAAGTTCAGAAAGAACCCAGACAGACCCTGGATGCTCCTGGGCAAAACAGATACTCTGTAGAGAGCTGATCAGATCACAGCCTCCACATTCTGAGGGAGTGTCCACAGCCTGCTTTTACCAAAATTTGGATGTGAATTCTACACCCTGTTTAACACCATAATAAACACAGATAAATAGGTACCCTGAAGTGTCAAACATTCCGTTTAAGCTGCAGCTCGTTAAGAGGTTTGGCTCAGCTTAGGACAGGTATTTAACTTCTCTACAGTTTATAACCATTTTTCCACCACAGTCCAATGCATAGGCAGACAAATAAGGGTGGAAGGGCTTCTCAATGTCCACACCCTGTTAGCAATTTTAATATTTGTCCTGAAACAACATTTGTTCCGACATTATCAATTATCAAAACAACTCAACTACGCCTCACAGATAAAGAACAGACACAACATAAATGAAATATTATTTTGGTAGGGTTCCTTTAAAGAAGTAAACAAATTATCACCCAGAAACAGCTTGCAGAAGCTTCATTTATAAGATGCACAGTCAAAACTGAGTGAGCCTGTATTTACTGTGAATGTATTATTTATAATGCTGTCACTTGACACCAGTGCTTTGCCTGCTATTTCCAGTTCTCTTAAGACTCAAGATTGACCAAAAATGTGTTCTGTAATTGTCTACATTTTTCAAGAATGTCCCATATATTTCGCTTAAATGGATCATCCTGTGAGTAAACAACATTCAGCTCCATTAAGTATATGGCAATCATCGACCCCAGAATGTGTTTGGGGTAAGTTCCTCCATTTGGCACTGTACCAAAAAGGGCCCCTTTCCTACCAGAACTAGAGGTTTGAGAAAAAGGAATTCTTCCTCTTTCGTAATCCTCCTTCAACATGACACCAAGGTTTAAGAAAAAAAAAACATGAGAGAGCATACCTTAATTCTCTTACACCCAGGAGTAACAGCCTCCTTTGCCATTGGAACATTCACACAAACAATGCCCTCAACAGCGAGGTTTGGCAGACAAGTTCTCGGCCCAGGATTTCAAGATTAAGTTTAGTGGCAGTAAAATGAAGAGATTAATCACTGACAAGTTTAACCTGTTTTTTGACCTTCATTAAAAGGTGACTGAAGTCCCTCTCTAGGTTTGCTTCACCAGTTCACCCCCGGGCACGGAGCAGTGGAACAGTGGAGTGGTGACAGGAGCAGAGTCTCCCTGAAAGAAAAACAGAAGCTGATCACTGCCCAGTTCTCTGACAGACACTCAGTTCTCTGCATTTCATGAAGAATAAGCATCCATCTGTATCATAAAATCAAGAATGGTTTGGGTTGGAAGGGACCTTAAAGCTCATCTTGTTCCAACCCCCTGCCCTGGGCAGGGACACCTTCCACTACACCAGGTTGCTCCAAGCCCCATCCAACCTGGTCTTATCCTCTTCTTGCCACTTAAAGAACATGCAATAATTATTTTTAACTATGCACAAAAATATTCCTTTTGTTAAATCTCTCATTAAAGTTACAGGGTTTGTTTTATTTATTTAAACTAAGTAAATGCATCCATTTCACTTTCAAATATATCTGAGTGCAGATCAACAGACAGTTAATGAGAAAGCATCATCAATGAACAAAATTATTAAATCAGATATTTAACTGAACCAAGGTCAGCAGCATCCAACTCTACCAAAAATACCTCCTGCCAGTCCTTCTACCCGGCATTTAAATACAGAAATTGCTTCCTGGAGCTTTGTTATGGACAGCTCAGATACTGTCACACACACACCCACCCCCAAAGACATCTCAGTAAATGAACTGGCCCTGCCAGTCTGGCTTCATTCCCCAGGGAATGATAGCAACCCTACAGCAGCATCAAGTTGGACCGGATAGTAAGAGTCAACAAAAGTTTTCAAGGCTCTGCTGTTCCCTCAGCTTTTCTGTATTGGTTTAAACAACCTTTTCTTAAATACTTTGAGATTACATGAGTGTTGGCAAAGTGACACACCTAAAAAAGCTACATATCTACAAAAAAAGGGACATAATGATTACATGTATGAATCCATCCTAGGAGACCCACACAGACTTCAGTTCAAAGCTAACTCCTCGGGATGTGCTTGTTTTGAGGAGATACCAACTGGATTTTAGGAAGGCTCCCCCTTTTTCAAGAGCAACTGGGTCCCTGTGAGGTCACAGAATGAGATGTCACTTAGCAGTCTCTCCATAGCTATCTTCAAAAGACTCAGATGATCAAAGGTTTGTGTGAACACACTGGGACGAGACATGACATCCAGTAAATTCTCATAAATCTGCATCAGAACAGTGAAGGAACACCCTGAAAAAGGGGGCGGGATCCCTGAGCTGCTGTGAACAGTATTATACATCGGACTATAAAATCCTGGACATTCTCAGCACCTCTAGGCATGAGCAAAAGCCAACACAGAGTACGATGAAGGGATAGTGTAACTTAACCTTTGCAGCAGAGAGCACAGACACGGTGTATGGGTGTGTACGATGGGACCCTCCATCACCAGTGACTTCCAGGGCAGCAGCAGGACAGCAGGGAGACCTGACTAGGAGCTGCGAGCAACCAGTGGGTAAAGGACACTGGGGCTGTACTCGCTGGTGGCTGGCACTGCCACCTCACACAGAATTCCACAGCTTTTAGAGCCTGGAGCCGCTCCGCAGTCTGACAGCCGAGGGGAGCAGAGGCATCATCCACGGGCACCACCACAGCATGTGGGCCGGGCAGCACAGCCCCCAGGCGGGCTCAGGTGGGTACACCAGGCGTCCGGCAAGTAAATCAATAATTAATTAATAAATAAATAACCATTAGCTGTCACCTAGCGACTTGCTGGGGCCTCCCGCACAGTCTGAACGGAGTCCCCGGACGCGGGGCAGCGGCCCCCGCTCCGTCCCCCTCCCGCCCCGCGGCCCCTCCCGCCCCTCACCTGAGCGGCCCCTCCCGCGCTGCCGCCGGGGGTCGGTAGCAGAGCCCCGGCTCCGGGGGGAGCAGCCGCCGCCGCATCAGCCGGGGGATGGACGGGAGGGGGGCAGCGGGGCCGCCTCTCCCCGCCCGCCCTCACCTGCCCCGGCCCCGCGTCACGTAGGGCCCATCCGGGTCCCGCGCGGGCGGGGCCGGGCCCGTCCCCACACGGGGGGCGGTGGGAGCGCCCACACCCCCCCCACTCCCCTCACGGCCCCGCCCGGGGCTGCGCCTCGCTCCTCCATCCCGCGACGAAACGCCCCGCGGGTAATTAATTAGCCGTGATTAATTGCCGGAGAGCACCGGGAGCACCGATGGTGGCTCCGCGGCCGCGCTGCCCGCGCCGGGCACTAGGGGAGGCCCCGGGATCACTTTTGAGAACGAGCCGAGGGTGAAGGAGCTGGGAAAGCTGGACCCAAGTGTCGAATTCCCTGAAGGCACTTTGATATCCTTCACTGGTGTTCGCGGTGGTTTTAGAGACACGCGTTAATCATCTCAACTGCAGCAACAAAAGGAACGGAGGGAAATAAAAAAAAAAAAACAAAACTGTTTCAGAGCGGAAAGGCAAAAGTTGTGGAAACACAAGTATTTTTGAAAGAACTTCTCGTAAAAGCAGTGGGGAAGGCTGAGCCCAACTTCAGCATCGTGAGCCACTGAGGTGAACAGAAAATGGGACAAAATGAGGCAAAAACCACCTAAAAAATACCTTTCTGGAATAATCACCTTCCACGTTGTATCCTAAAGTTTTGATAACAGCAGGGGTTCAGCAGCAGTTTCACCCCAGCAGCACAACTCTGAACACAACGGCTTTGGAGGAACAAATTCGAGAGGCTAAAAATTACCTTCGTTCTCCTGCAGTAAAGAAATCTCATGTTACTTTCTTTATAACTCTCAGTGGGACACTCTAATTTAATTTTTCCTCGTCACCCAGCTATTAAAAGCAAACAAAAAGCATTGAATTGCAAACCTTAAAGAGAGACCCAGACCCAGGACATGAGATCATATCTCCCCCTCCACTAATGCATCAACATCTTGAATTATTAAAATCTTAACTCCGAAGCAAAAATATTAATAAATGAAAATCACATTTAAAGCATTTATTTTGAAAAATAAAATACAAAAGATCATTGAATTGTAATTATACATGTAATTTATCAACTTTTTTTTTTAAATAAAAGATATTTAACAATTTCCACATATGAATAAAACAGACAACTGTTCCACCAGAAATCTTTTAGGACAAGCACAGACCACTCTTGAAAGCTTCATACATTTAAAACCAAACTGCTACAAGAAACAAACAAACAAAATCTTTGAAGATGGAGCTTTGTAATTAAGACAGAAGAGCAATTTCAGAGACAGGCATTGCTTTGCATTTTTTTAAAACCTTAAAAAAATAGTTGTGCGAATGTAATACAGTTCTACATCAACATCAGTGTTTTTTATTTTCTTTAACAGGTTTACATGCGCTCACAACAGCAAAATTTGGAACAAAAACAGTATGAAAGAAACGGGAGAGAAAATTCTGAGGGAAGCAGGCCATGAGCAGCACACCTCACTGATCCTGGGGGGACAGGCCGGATGGATCATTCCCACGGAAAAGGCAGCAGTCGATTTTCTAAAGAAAAGGAAAAATAAAGTTATGTTTGAGCTTTCTGGGTAATATTCAGCTCTTATCCTCGACAACTGTTTTAGAATTATATATAATGCAGAATTAATTAACTGCTCTTTCAGTAGGTGGAAAGTCACTGTTAAGACAAAACACAGTCACTAAAACGTTCCTGTAAGGAATGTGGCTGCTTTGTCCATCGTTTATCATTAGGGTGACTTCCTGGAGAACATATAGATGCAAAACATATATTGGTATTTGTAGGGAATTGGCTATAGAACAGGGCTGGCCTAGGCCGTGAGAACATCTTAGATAGCAAAGTTAGAGTGCCCTTGTACGTGTTAATAGGCTGGTAAACAGGACATTGTGATTAGCAAAACAAAAAACAACTGAGTACCACCTGTGTCAACAATGGGAGGCAGTTACGATGATATCACCACCTAACTGAGTACCAATAATGAGCCTGATCTCTGTAATATTCATGAACCTATTATAGAGTGTATATTAAGCTACTGTCAATCTACAATAAACGAAGTTCCTGGATTCTCACATTGAGGTGTCTAGAGCTTTCCGTCGCGACAAATTTGGCGCCCGAACAGGGACCAGAGGGGGGTCCCTAGGGGATCAAGTCGGATCTCCTGGGTCGGAGTCAAGTCGGACTCGGAGTCAAGTCGGACTCCCGAGAGCCAAGTCGGGTTCTCGCAGCCACGGTCGGACGTAGGAGTTTCGGTCGGTCTTGCCGTGCAGCACAAGAAGGCGAAAGGGCTGGAAGAAAAAGAGCTCAACTTGCCGCCGCCGGACGCCTCCCTTTCGGGGATTTCGGACGGCGAAAGAGTTAAGTTCCGTGCTTCCAGGGCCCGGCGCCCGGGACGACTCCTGAAGAAGGAGGCCCGCCGACAAAGCCGCAAAGTCACGTGGAAAGGGCTGCACAAAGCGTGGTAACACGTTTTTTAGGTAATGGAGGGACAGGCGGCACTATCATTGCTCCAATGCTTTCTGGGAAAGCGGGGAGTTAAGACGAACTGGCTTTGAGGCAGATGCTGCTTTCATGTAAGGGCCAGGGATATGAAGCGAACACTGTAACTGCCTTTACTATCTCTACTTGGAAAGAACTTAGTGATAAGCTCTTTACTGCTACCTATAAGGGAGAAAAAGTTGCTGCTTCCCTCCTTACAATTTGGCGATTGTTATCTAGAACAGTAAAAGACATTAAAGCACAGTCTGAGGACATTAGAATGCTACTAGATACCATCATACGGAGAAATCGTGTAAAAAGGGAGTCGAGCGGAGTTGAAGGGAGCCGGTGCGGGACCAGAGATCACAGATCGGGGCCGGGGACAACCGGGCGGCCCCGCCAACATGAATGCGGTGCCAGCCTCTCGGCAGTGCATATCCAGGACGATCGGAGACGACAGCTGCAGTGTGAAAGTACTGCTGATAGACCAGAAATGAACTTTACGAACACTATGACTGAGTTCCACCTTAAGACATTTCCAGCTTTTCATCTGAACTGTGCTGCGGGACTGCGCTGCACATTTGCGGCTGTGTTCACGGCGCTGGGTGCTTGCGCCGCCGTGCTGAGTGAATACGGGGCGGCGCCGAGCAGCGGGGCAATGGTGGTGGTCGCGCCGCCTGCGCGGCCCCGGCTCGGAGCGGTGCGCCCGTGTGCGTGCACGCCGGCGGCCCCGGGCGCGGCGGGCGGCGGGGGGGCTCTGTTTTCCCCGCACTGCTGACAGCCATGGGCCCGGGGGGTGTGCGTTCCCCTTCCCTTCTTTGCAGCGAGTGTTTTTTCCCTGGTGCCGCTCTTCTTCCTAGAGCGGCGAGTTAATGACGGTAGCAAAAGCTTCAGAGGGTGCAGCTGGGGGAGAGGGAAAGCTGTTTCTCTTTTTCCCCGTTACACCAATCACCCCTTCTCTGAAACGTGCCTGTTTGCAGCTGTTCTCTCCCTCTCCTACGCTTTTGTCTCTTTTTAAGCAGACCCTGTGATTAAGTTAAGTTCCTTCTGCTGATCTCTCTAGGTGAGCCCAGCCCCTCCTCCCCCTCCTTCGTCCTTCGGCAATGAGGAGCGTGGGGGAGGCAAAGACGGTAAAACACGGAAAAAAGGCAAAAGAGAAAAAACAACTTAAAATTAACAATATCCCAACTTATAAATCAAATAAGATTGCATTGTTTTTACAGCAATAGGTGTTAAGCATGCAGTGTGCTCATGGCATTCTCAAACGTTTTCTTCAAAACAGGGAGACTGACGAAAATCCTTTGAAGTAAGATTAGAAATAACAGAACATCCGTGCTTAGCTTTTTGCATATTGCAGAAGGTTGTTAAGAATTTCCTATAGTTTGCCATTTTGCTTCTCTTACATAAAATTTGGCTGTTTCCCCCAAGGGCAAGGTGCAGGTAGGAGATTTAGAGACGGAACGATGAGACAGAAGGGGATATAGTCTTGCCCCCTGCAAAAGTAGTTTTATTGTCTTTATGATAAAATAGCATTGCTCTATAAGAAAGGTTGAAGATTTCCAAGATAATATTCTGTTCTTTCTTGCTGTATTTGTCTTTTACATGGAGAGTTATGCAGGATTTGCAGATTGCTGATGGCGGCTATGCCATAAATTTCCTTTGAATTATGAAACTGATAAGAAGTGCGCAGCCAATGACTACTTGAAAATGTGTGTGTGATTGAGGAGAATGTCTGAGGTGGCCACCTGAATGTTGTGTGAAAGAAAAAAGCTACATGAATGTGTGACTGTGTAAACTTAAAAATACTTTCTGCCGGTGTCAAGATTTTAGAGATGTGTAACACGATTCTGTTGAACCATAGTGAATCCTTATCCTGAATATGAATTCTTCAAATTCCCACCATGAGTGGTGAGGTTTTAGTTATCTCAAGACTAGCCCTGTCCAGCTAGCTGTTTGATCTGAACTGAGGTTAAATAAGAAGTTCTTACATAAATTTGGTGTTCTATTTCTGCCTTGTTTCAGAAATTTATGGAAGTTAAATCTCAGGTAGAGTTTTTCTACTGCTGTTGTTCCTTAGCTGTGCGAGCTGCGCAGGAGACCACTAGTTTTAGAGCGAGTAAAAACCATAAGCCAGCAAACATTGGTGCAGACTGCAAGGTTGGCAGAGCCCGAGGCAGGGTGCACCACTATGCATCCAGGTGCCCGGGAACCATTCTTACAATTCGTAGAAAAGCTGCAAGACGCTGTAGAGAAACAAGTTTTGTGACAGTTACAGAAGTTGCTAGTTACATAACTAACTAGAGATAATGCAGGTTTGTGCCGGGATGAGGTCCTTAGACCATCAAATAATTGCATTTTCATCTGCTGTGGCAGTAGTGAGGGTCGTTTTGAGCTTTTCTGTGTTTTTCAGGATTTAAATCAGGAGTAGTCGATGTTGCTGCTCGTTGCAGGGGGGCCTTTAGGTTGTCAAGGCCATCCTGTGTGCCTTCTCAAAAACATCTGCAGTGCTGTGGATAGTGTGTCTTCAGGCCTCTTGGCTGGAGGCCAGAGCAGACCAGTTATGCCAAGTCTTAATTTTCAAGTGTTGTTTGTACTCTAAAGAACTCCTTTGCAGAGGATTGTTCCAGCAAGTTTCCTATGCTTCAATCCAGTGCAGCTTCATAGTTTTTCACCTCTTTTACAGTTTTGAGAAAAACACGCTGTGCTTGGCCACAAGCCTCCTTTAAGCTGATAGTCTTGTGTCCCTGTGAGAGCTAGGGGCGGAGTGCAGCGTGCAGGTGCGGACCTTGTCCTTCTCACAGTAGCATTCCAGCAGTTTACCATGCTGGAAGATTTCCTCTCAGCCAAAACCTGGGCACCACAGAGCCCCACCAGGACGTAGTTTTTTCTGAGTGTTCTTTGTGCTATGCTTACTCAGGTGGGCTTGGCACAGGGAAGCCTTATAAGTCAGGCAAGTCTTCATGGCTAGATGGGGGCCTGTGGAGTAAAGGCAGAGTGGGCACTGGGAAGGGCCCTGCGGGTGTATTTCTGTTCCTTCTGTATGCACTCCTTGCAGAAGCTGTGACCGCACCCCAGGGACATAGAGTTCCTGTAAATGTCCAGGCAGATGGGGCATATCAGTTCGTCCTTCAGCCTGGCCTCAGCACCCACCTCGGCCATGTTGCCTGAGCCTCGTGACAGGGCTGAGAGCAAGGAGGAAGGCACTGGTGAGAAACGGAGAACACAGCATACAGAAGCCTTCAGATGTCAATTTAGCTTGATCCATTCTATTGCTCGCTCAGTTGTTGTCTCTTGTCCAGATTGTCGTCGTGCTTGTACTGTCTATTTTAGTACTAACCCTCGAGGTCTTACTCTGGCAAAAGATCCCCAGGAGTTAAGTTTAATGAGATCACTGTCTGTACGTAACACAAGTGATAATGAGACTCAAACCTGTTTTATGTTAAGATTATTTCAATCTAGATTAAGTGTTTATCAAAGCCACGACTTGTCCAGCTGGCACAAACTACCTAACCTGTACACAAAAGAATTGTAGAGCCTGGGTGAAACAGTAGAACACACAAAGAAAGTAACAGTAACAACTAGTCCTATAGACTCATAGCTTCAATCTATTTTTGGTTCTATGTCTGAATGAGTTTTATGTTTTGTTAAAGAAAAGCCTACGATGGTTGTTGACAATTGTTATAATTTTAGTAATAGTTCATATTGATTTTTCTTGTATTGTTAAACGTGTAAGTGCTATAACAGAGAAAACATTGTTGGCCCAGAATAAAAAAACAGGGGTATTTGTAGGGAATTGGCTATAGAACAGGGCTGGCCTAGGCCGTGAGAACATCTTAGATAGCAAAGTTAGAGTGCCCTTGTATGTGTTAATAGGCTGGTAAACAGGACATTGTGATTAGCAAAACAAAAAACAACTGAGTACCACCTGTGTCAACAATGGAAGGCAGTTACGATGATATCACCACCTAACTGAGTACCAATAATGAGCCTGATCTCTGTAATATTCATGAACCTATTATAGAGTGTATATTAAGCTGCTGTCAATCTACAATAAACGAAGTTCCTGGATTCTCACATTGAGGTGTCTAGAGCTTTCCGTCGCGACAGGTTTTCCACTTACATTCCAAGAATTTGTGACAATGGGCTGCACTGACGTGCTGGAAGTCAGCATTGTACCAGGGGAAGTTACTGCTGGGAAGTTCACAATTTGGTTTCCCAGAAACTGGGCAGCAGCTTTAGACAGAAATATTGCATTTGCACATATATTTTTCAGAGCTAAGTGGCAAAATGAAGCTGCTGTTTTAGTCATTTTAACATTGACTACAGGAAAAGATTATGGTTTCTCTATCCATTTCAGATTGAAAGCCTGCAATTAATCTTTGGAAACCTTTTATATCCATTATTTCTAAGTGGTGCAATGCTTTTGGCTATATTTAGGGCACTATATTTATGGCCATGTAAGGATCTATTTTGGGTGTATTGGTGGGGCATGTTGCTTTTGGCTATATTTAAACTGGAAGCATTTTGTCATTTTTTGTTGTCAAGCCAGAATATCTGATAACATAGCTGACAAGTAAAAATCCTGGATTAATACAGTAATTCTTGCATCATTCATTCCTTAATTAGTCTAGAATTTACTGCACAATTTGCCATTGTTTATTCAATTACTAAAATGCAGTTTATTAAAAATACTGGCTATGGGACACATTAAAAACAAATGAGCTTATCAGTTTCCACTATCACAAAAGGGCAATTACTCTAAAAACAAAATTACACAGGTGATGAAGAGTCATCCTTAAAGTTTCCCTGTTTTTTTAATAATAAAAGTATAGTTTTATGTACTCCTTCCAATTTCAAGCTCTAAAATAGAGTTGTCAATCCAATAACATAGCAAATACTGAATTATGATGAGCCATATAGGACTGCACTGCACTTACCTCACAGTGATTTTTACACGTTCTGAACTAAGGTCTGTACTTCATATTTTTCTTACCCAGAATCTTACATAGTTTTTTAACATAAGTTTAAAAAAAAATTAGTTAAACTAAATTCAGAGCAACAAATGAGCAGGACTGCAACACACTTTTATTACCTTCTGTGCAAGAAACATCCATTTTATCTTCTATTCCATAGGTTCAGTCTGTCAAAAAAATAACTAAAATTAGCTATTTCACATTAGAGGAAAAAAAAATATCATTATGAGCACTTATGTTTGTATTCCAAACCATTGAGGTGTTTAGTTACATTATGTTCATGTTATCTTTTGTATAATACACTAAAAGAGAACACTATCAACTTCAACTCCAGTGTCCGTTTTTATGGTTTAAGAAATATTCTTTTACTATTTCACAAAGCTTATTTTTTGCCTTTTAGATGATCTTTCTTTTACTCTGGATAAATCTGCTCAGAGTCTGGTCAATACTGTAATGCACCAAGCTAACTGTATAAATCCACCTCCTGGAATTTAGCAGAGTGCCATTTGGAAACCTCCCTGTCATATGGAGTGAAAGGACATTTACTAGTTAGAGTGGCCCAGGTTCTTTTGAAGCGTCACAAGATAACTGAAAAACAAAAATAGCAAAATTTAACTAGTGGACACTGTACAAAGACCAAGGATTTAAAGGATTTAATCAAGGATTCATTCAAAAAAATCAAGGATTTACTTTGCTAGCACACACACACAGTGTGCTCAGTTTTGAAGATAACTCGTATCCCTGCCTTTTCCATAAATCCTTATCAGCAACATTTAATCTGTCATGGCACACCCTGTGCCTGCAGCCAGATAATGCCGCAGCTTTATCTGAAAGGCTGCAGATAATCTGGGAATCACCACAGGAATGGCACGTGAAAGCATCAGAACTAACCCCAGCAGCTCTCTCAGCACAGTTTGCTGACAGGACCGTTAAGCAGCACATTAAGAACATTTAAACAGCATTTCTGCCGCTAAGCTGCAGAGACTCGGGCCAGCAGTGGAGAGGGGACGATGCTGTGAGCACAGCCCAGGCAGCTGCGTGGTGCCAGCTCTGGAATGGCTCTCCAGGAGCTGAGCACGACTTGCAAAGCAGGAGCACTAACTGATCCAAGGGTGAGAGCAGGCAGACATCCAGTAAAAAGCCAAGCCCACATTAGAGATCACACAAAGACTGATCAGAGAGATTTGGTGCCCACAGCAAAGTTATGTTCTGAAAACATGACACAGACACTACAGCTATTTGACTTCACTGGTCCACGTTCATTTTATCTTGCCACGAGACTTCCTTTCTACTGTCTTCTTTGGCTGGAACAAAAGAAACCGATTTTCCTTTTTAAGCAATTAATTTTTGTTTGAACAAAAGGAAAAAGTCAAAATGCTTTGTTTGCATGTGGTAGATTCTCCTGTGTACTCTTAACCTGTGTGCCTCCCACACGGAGAAGCTGTGGCTGCCCCATCCCTGGAAGTGTCCCAGGCCAGGTTGGAGGGGTCTTGGAACAACCTGGTCTAGTGGAAGGTGTCCCTGCCCATGGAAGGGATGAGCTTTAAGGTCCCTTCCAACCCAAACCATCCTGTGATTCTATGATTCCGTGATGTTCACATGGCTGGGGGAGGGTGCCACAAGATCCTGCAGTTTGAGAGCTCCATGACAAGGATTTTGCTTTTTCAACTGCAATTGCACAGGTCAGGCCCCTCAGGGAGCTGACGACAATTAACAGCATTTGAAGGTACCAACTTATGAATTCTCAGTAAAATCTGAAGTTCAATAGCTCACTTGATTATTAACCCAACACAGCATCCCTATCCATGGCTGAACTGGTTTTGTTTATGTCTGATAACATTACTATCTCTTTTTAAAGTTTCTCAGTACTTATAACTCTGCTCTCTCTGTATTATACTTGCTTTAAACCTTTCCATGCAAGGTAACAAAAGATAAAAGCTCCTCTGCAAATAACACACTTTGCAGTTTGGTCTACAAAAGAAACTCCAACTTTCCTGGAGTTTCACAGCAAAAATTCAGGCAGCTCAGGTTGACAAGCATCAACTGGAGTTACACATGGACTCAAGAGAGGCTTGGAACTGGAGATTCCACCTCATGGACAAGCTGTTCTCTTGTCATCACTCAGAAAAATCAGGTTCATGAAGAAGTGGTTTTATAAAGACTGTTTGCACACTGATTTGCTGCTACAAATGAGGAAATCAATTCAATACTGTACCTGTGGCACTTCTTTAAGGAAGTCAGGAAGCTGAAATTCACCTTTATAGACCTGGAAAAACAAACAAAAAATACACTACTCAAAGCCCTCATTCACTGCTGTTTGAAATGTTAAAGAGCTTGTTAAGGGAAGGAAAAAAGAACAAAAGGGAAAAAGATTCCTTTGTGTTATTAGCATCCAGTAAAGCTAGAACAGATCTACTTAAACTGAGAACAATGTCTTTGTAAAAGCAAGTTTTATTCCCAAGGTTTGGTTCTCCAAAGTGGTTCCACAGCTGCTCTCTCAGTTCCAGGCTTGGTCTGTACTCAACACTCTGACCCTGTTTGCATTAAAATGGTAAAAATATGCAACTCAAATAATATTCAAGTTATTTCAAGCAAGTTTGAAATCTAATCTAAGTCCAGTGTAATCCATGCACTAAGCTTTCAGAAAAAGATTTTCAACAGGATGATTAAAAACACTAGGAGTGACTTGCTACAACACATACTGCAGCCTCATTACCAGCCTGACTGCATGGGAATTATCAAGATTTCCAATTTTTTAGAGCATAATATTAATTCTGAAACAACACTGTTTGGAGAAAGAGCAAGTAATAAATATCCTCCAACACACCAACAACCACAGCAAACAAGCCTTTCCACTATCTGACCAATTAGGAAATAAATTGGCAACGTATCGTCTTCTCTCCGGAGGATAATTCTTAAAAGCTCTTTGCTTCTGAGATTAAATATTCCAAAGGGGGGAAAAAAGTATTCTGGTTTTGTTTGGGGGTTTCTTTTTGTTGTTTTGTTCTAGTTTTTTCCCCTAAAAAAAAAAAGTACACTTGAAGAGTTTTACCATTCTTTCTACTGAACCATAAGGAGTAATCATCCCAATGTCCTAAGTTCTTTGTAGTCTTGTGTAATCATTTAAAAATAAATAAAAAAAAATTTTACAAAAGGCACAAACCTACGTAGAAAAATTCTATAAAAATGGAAAATGGGCCCTAAAATGGAAATGGGGCTACTCCAAAGCCTCGCTCAGAGCTGCACTCCCTGGTTTGCGCCAAAGGGAGAAGACTCAGGAAGGCAGGGGATGCTTATTAACAATATCCATTTTCTCTGCTTCCCTCCGAAGGGATGACCAGAATACAGAGCCAGCCTGGTTTTGTCAATATGCTGCAGTGGCCCGGCAGTGCAGCTGAGTCAGCTCGGAATTTCCTGCCCAGCGGCCGCCCCAGCCCTGAAAGCATCGGACCCTGTGACTCTGTGACTCACGGGGGTGGACTCAGGGCTGGCAGCTCCCATCACTCCTCATCCCTGGGCTAAACAGACCCAAACGAGGCTTCACTAAGCCCCAACATACAGTGTGGAACTCTCCTCCTTCCAATATTCCGTGTTTTAGTTAAAATAGAAAAGCAAAAGGCACAGCTCTCATTTGTATTCAGCCAGGGGCTACTGTGATTCCCATGGAAACCTTAATGAAAGTCGGCCCGGTCAGAAATCCAGCGTGTGGCTACTGGAGCCTTCTTATACCATAAATATTTATAAATGAAGGAGAGGATTTCACATTTGCAGCTTTTAACCAAGCCATTAAAATGCAGGCTGTGTCCCAGAGAGCAGGAATGGAAGTTACAAATGAACAATAGTATCACATCAAAAATGTTACAGAATAACAGGCAGGAGTCTTCACCTTTTCTGGCAAAGCACTGCAGTCATCAGCTGGGAGTTCTCAAAACCAGTTAATACTGATGAGATGATGGTACCTTGTGACTGATTCAGAACCACAGTGGCCAAAGCCACATCTGTCTCTCTAGAAGCCTCCTCCTTTTCCCTTCTCCTGCAATTATGACTCAGTTTAATTTTTACATTCTATCTATATATGTGTATCTATCTATCTCTTTTATATATATTTGTCTGCCCTAAAAACTTCACCACAGTAATGTCCTTTGTAGGAACAGCATTTACTCCTAACAGGCATCCAACAGTGGATAGCCAAGGGCATTCATCCATCCATAAGAAAAATAATGTCACAGCCTGGAATGAAAATGCTTTTGTTGTTATATTTGATGTTATATTCACATGAAATATCACCAATTATACACCACAATTTACAAAGGCAAATCTAACCAGTGGCAGGCCCAAGATCAGGTTTAACACACAAATGTGCCTAATTTCAGTTCAGAACTGACATTACCTAGAAGGCTGGTTTTGTCAGGACTGAGACTGCACAGAGACTGGTTTAAAGGAGTTCCAAAAACTGTAAGTGGTCCCTTCTGAATCAAAAGCCAGGGATCAATGGCAATCCAGAAATTCTAAAAACAATGGCTCCATCTGCAGCCAAAGAAATTAAAGAGGCTTCAGATTCAAAATTCTTTCCTGACCAATTTATAAGTCTAAAACACATTACTCAGAGTGGCATTAGAGAGACAGAAGCAGGACATTGGAATGATTTCCAGTCTGAGCAAGAATTCAGTAGAATTGAGAAGAAATGGTGTTTGCCATTTCTAAGGGAATTATTTTGTAAGTCCAAATGGAATTCCAAAAGAGGGGGATTTTAAGTCTGTGTCAGTTTGATGTTCAGTGCTGGCAGTATTCAAGCTGTTCTATTAAAAAAACAAAACACATTCTTATAGCCAAACTACATGCACAATATTCTCAAAGAGATCAGAAAACAAGTTTCACATCCAGTTGTCTGAAAAAATCCTTTTAAAAAACACAGAGAAAACTTAAGAACAGAAGCATAACACAGAAGTGTAACCTATAATTCATCTTTACAGAAGATTAAAGCACTCCTTTTCACCCACTTTCCTGCCTGGTTTGGAAAGAGCCACAGTATATTTGTCCAGTTCCAGTCACAGAGATAATGGGTCTTTTTGTGTAAAAGTCACCCTGCAACTAAGTGTGTCTGGGCTTGGTAGACTTCAAAAACAAAGTTGCAGAGTACAAGTTTATTGTCAGAAAAAGAAAGAACACTGGTAAAACCAGACCAGAGCCTCTTTCTACAACCAATCCTCTACTGCACAGCACACCCTCATCCTGCTCTTTCAGACTCTCCTTAACTTTTAAAGCAGCTCTCAAGGTTTACACAATTCTTCACCTCTACTGGAACTGCCAAGGAAGGGACATCTGAGATGTAAATGTTTACCCAGCAGGAACAACACAGAGAGCAGGATTTCAGGCATGAATATCTGCCAAAAGGCAGCTTGCAACCATACCTCATTTTCTGCTTTGGTTGTTAATAACTCTTCATGCATTACTAATCACATATATGCATACTCGAGGGGTTTGTTTGTTTTTTTTTTTTAAATGAGATATCAGCACCTCTGGAAAAAAACTATGCAGTTGGAAATCCACATGCTGGAAGAAACACCCACTAAAGAGGGTATTAAACAAATCTGTGCTGTTGGTGGTCACAAGTGAGATGAAATAACCTCCCCCAATTTTTGTTTCAAATATCAGAGAAGATGCCCAACAAGCCAAATGCCTTTATTAACCAGTGTAAATGGGGACACAGCCCTGAGCAGCCCTGCATTACAGCCACCCCCACCATGACACATCTTTGGCAGCAAAATTATTCTCATGCATAAATACAAATATAGATAGTGTAAATATACTTTGTATATTTGTTTCATAGATTGAGATTTCTAAAAGACAGAAACAAAGTCTTGAAATCACAGCTGTCATGGACGCTTCGACTCTTGACAGGAGATGTTTCCTCACAATTTAAACTAGGTACAAAACTGGAGTTAGGAAAACTCTTTTTTTTTTTTTCCTCCAAGATGTTACTGCAGAAAATGCCACCAACTGAACACAAGCCAGAGGTAGATAACAGCTTTTGGATGTGATTAGAAGGACCATGTGTATTTAAACCACAGCTTTTCCTACAGAGTTCTCTACACTTCCATCTCCCAACCTCTCCAGGGCAAGGAACACAACTCCACGAAGAAGTTAAAAGAACTTACTAGAGTGTGTATTCCAAGCATACAAATTCATTTAGTGGGAAGGACGTGCCAAAGAAAATCTGATGTAATGTGTTACAGATGTGGGAGGAAACCACTCTGCCAACCATAACACAACAATACTCCAGTCTCTGCTGGGCACGAGGCAGAGCCCTGCAGCCCTGAGCTGGTCCCCACTTTTGGGGTGTTCTGGGAGCCTGCTGACACACACAAACTCCCAACAGTGAAAGGACACAGGAGACACTGTTCTAAGGAGGAGTGATTCTGCCTTGGTACTTCATCACACAGTGATTGGGTAATCAGCTCACACTGCTTAATTATTTGCATTTTCTGCATCGTTTGCAGATGAAAACTCCATTTACTTAAGGATGTTATTTTCCTTTATGTTCAGGATGTAGAATTTGTTCAAACTCTAGGAGGGGAAAAAACAAGTAGTCATTTATGCATCTGTAAGGAAGGAGGCCTTGCAGTCACTATAAAATGAACAGACCAGCAACAGACTTACAAGAAAAACCACAACATATTCAGTGATGGCAGAACTGGGCTAAGTAAAGGCTGCCTTGAAGAGGTCACATGCAGAGATCTGCTGAACAGCACAATCCTGTCCAGACCTCGTTCTCTCTGCTCTGCATTCCTTAACTGAGACAGGATAAACTGTCATAAACGATAATACTGTCAGGCTTAACATAAAACAGATAAACAGAAAGTTAATGGCTTTGTTATTGAAAACAGCAGAAAAATCTGCTGTGCTGTGACAGCTCTGCACTCCCCCCATGCAGGTACTGTCAGAGGTGTCTTATTTCATAACACCCCACAGCACTGGGACACCAACACAAGAAGAGGGGAAATTGGCTCCATGCTCTGTTAGTTCCTAAAACAAAAGCAGAGCTAAGATGACAAAGCACAAGCACTGGTTGTATCTTATTATTTCTGTGCACAGAAAACCAGCCTCAGCGTTCTGGTGTCCTACACAGGTAACAGCAAAGTGAAAAATCCAAATTTAGCAGAGAGCATTGCTTTCCTTGCATTATCTACAAGTGGATAGAATTTCTAATCTAAGCACTGCATTTCAGCTGGAGAGAACCATCATTTTGTCATCAGACTGAAGAAAAAGAGAAATATTTAAAGCTGTACACATGCAAGTCACCGGCAGGGGACAGAAAAGGAGAGAAGAGGAAAAACAAGAACAGGACCTGACTGCTCAGAAAGCTTAGGGGAAACCAGTATTTTACACCAGACTAGCCACTTCTTTCCATTTTTCTTCAGTACCAGCCCTTGTTTTAGGCACTTTTAAACACTTGGTTCTTCCCTTCTGAACTAACAGCAGCAGCTTTGAAATTGTTGAACAGTATTTTCACTGTTAAGTCCAATTTGCAGTCTTTTCCAAGAAGTCACAGATTTTGCTCAGTGCAGTATAAACGCAGATCTACAGCTGCATTTAATCACATTTTAGAACAAAGACATCTTGCAGCTGAAAGTCTGAAATATTTTTAAATTATCTTCTACAACATGGACTGATCATAAAATACTGACCTGTCTACATCCCAAAGAGGCTTTTTAGCTACAAGTATGTTCTGCATACTAAGCAATTTTTTTTTTAAATTTTCATTCCACTTATCTTTATGCAATGAACCAGATGACACAGTGTTGTTCCATCTTTAGGTGGAGCCAGAATCTGCCTTGCCAATAATTTCAGTGGTGCTGGGCTTCCACCCTCCTGTTGCAACTTCCATAATAAAGTTAAGCATTACATAACCCCCTCAAAAGTGACAAGCTCCCCTCCAAAAAAGTTAAAATAAAATAATCAGTTATTCCCCCCTATTTTTGCTTTGTGTTTGCCAGGCAGGGACAAATTCCTTCATCTGAAGTGCCACTTGTGCCATTTTAATTGGACTAAGAGACTGGTATCGGAGCAGCAAGTGTCAGATAATCCAAATTTATTTCAAATTAGTCACTCTGAGGGGTTACTACACCAACACAACACAGGTCAGCTTTAGAAGTCTGAGCTTGAATTGTATTCACTGGAAACAGATAAAGTTCTGTGTTCAGTTTAATGTCTTGGAAACCACAAATATAAACGTAGTAGAACTGCTTCCAAACACAAAGTGAAGGAATAAATGGTTACAAGCAAGATAGACATAATCTTACTATGTACTGAACAGCAACTCTGGAAAGGCTTTATTTGGACAGCTTCACCTCCAACAACACACCCAGTGCAGAATGCTGTGAAAAACTATCCCAGGTGAAGAAACTCAAAGAAAGCAAGAGGGAAAGTAGTGCTACAGTGATTTAAAAACTCACAGGAACACACTTAACTTGCCAAGTGCCAGTTCCAAAAGGCTGGAAAAATCCAGACATATTTACTTATCTATTTAAATAAATGCTCCCTTCTCCAAGCTGCAGCAGCAAGGGATAAATTAACACAGGCTGATGGAAGGGAAAGGGAAATCCATAGGACAACACTGGCTGTCCCTGATGGCAAAACTGCCATCCCAGTTTGCTCCTTCTCTCCCTCTCCCCAAAACCTTGAAGTGTTTTGATGTGTCTGTTCCCCAAATAAAAACAAAATAAAGATGCTGGGAGGAAACAAAGCCAAGCGTTTTTGCGAAGTGAGTCAGTTCCCCCTGACACCAGCCAGGATATTCGGTATTCCCAGCGGCCTGGCTCCGGGGCCAAGCTCCAGGGGCATTCCCAGAACTGGCACTGCCAGGGGGTGCCCAGCCTGCTGCCCTGGGAGGCAGGGAATGTAAGGAGCTGGGAAGCCTTATATCCTGAACCCTGGGAAGGCAGGACATCCACAGCCAAGGAGAAAGACAGGACACAACGGTCCGAGCAGGGATTTGCTGGGAACCAGCTGGGAGGAAACGAAGCAAAGCGACTGGGGAGGAATTCAAGCTTCCAAGTGCAAACCCAAACACTCATTTGAGCCACGGTTAAAACAGCTCCTTGGGGTACACGACATTCTGAAAGCCTCACGTTGCCCCTCCTCAAAATATTCCCTTTCAAAAGGAATATTTTAAGTTTTGAAGTTTAACCATCTTTAATTCTTTTGCTTTTTTTGGATTTTAGCCTTAATTCAGGACATCTCCCTCATTTTGTCTATCAAACCATATGTGCAAATGGAATTTTATTATAAAGAGCAAGTGACTAAGAAAATATACTCTGCCTACTACAACAAGCAACAAAATTAAAATCCTATCTCGGGCTGTAAGTAAACCAATTTAATTAAAATAGCAGTCAAAATATTAACAAGTGTCCCATATGTCTGCAATATTTAGATCAGCTATTATAGCACTAGCCTTCAGTTTTTAACAGCTGTTCTTACATTAGTAAAAAAAAAAAAACCAACAAAACAAACTGTCCTTCAAAACAAACTTTTCAAAGCCTCAAAACACTTGAGCCTTTGAAATTAGGCTTTAATTTCTTTAAAAGCTTTACTAGCTGATTTTCTTTCTTGGATTTTGAACTGACATAGATTTCAAAAAGCAACTGAAATCCAGACAATTTTTACAACTTGGACTGAGTTTGCCACACACAGGTAGAGGCCTCAAAAAGGTCACCACGCTGTGAAAACTGACGTAGATTTTATCAGTAAGACATAACCAACCTTGAATTATTGCATTACAATACAAATTCGGATTTTTAAAGTGGTTGAATTAAGTGCAGAAAAGTCAGTTTGTTTGTGAGCCTTTTAAAACAGTAAGCACAAGGAGAGCTATAAATGCCAACCACTACCCCTACCACAGTTTTTCAGTATCAGAAGGCTGGTGGAAGACAGTCCTTTTAAATTGTTTAATTCCATTTTTCCACTGATTACTTCGCTGCAGCAGCAAAAGTCACTGTCTTTTAATAAAGTAAACGTGCTCAGAAGAACAAAAGCAGAGTTAATAATTTTGTTTCTAACAATGGCAGTGAACTTTTCAATGGGTACCTCCAGGGATAAACAGCCCTAGAGCCTAACTACTCAAATTCCAACAACATTAAATTCAGACTAAAATGCTTAAGTTTAGGTTAATCATCTTGGGCCATTTTCCATGGGTCATTTTTCAAACTCTAACAAGTATTTGGGGTGTAATTTTGTGACAGAGCTCCTGCCAACCCTCATGTATAAAAAGCTGAGCTCAGTCAAGTTTGACATCCAGACAAGAAAGCTTTTTTCTACTACCAGCTAGTTCCCCAACTATCTGGACAGTTCTCAAGAGGTCTGGCTCCACACACCAAAGAGCACAGCTCAAGCCTGTGGTTGGGATAAAGGGAGATGAATCAAACTGGACAAACAGCAGGAGCCAGACTTGCAGTGCTCAAGGTCCCAAAGAATTCTTTTCTCCTCCAGGGCAAGGAGTATCAAAAGGTACTAGAAACAGACTTATAAAACCCCAAACAAAACACAAGACTTCTGCTCTACAGCTCCCAGCCAGTCAGTCAATAGTTAAACACACAGCAGCCTTACCCTCCTTGTGTTTTCCACAACCTTTTGATCTGGTTTTCCATAGTTTGGTGGATTGGCATATGGATCATAGCCCAGCTTGGCCAGCATGGGGGCAATCACAGGCATGTCTTGCAGAACATCAGCAGGGATCTTCCCGACCCACTTGGACAGTGCTTCCACATTGACTGGCTTGATGACTTGGTCAGTGGATCTTTCAACCCTGTGGAGGGAGAAGGGAAGGTTATTTTCTGCTTTCCAACCAACACCTGCCAGTTCACCATCACCAAGACCTTCAGCTTGTTTTGTCTGTGTTGGTTTTTTTTCCCCCCCTCCCTCTTCTCTCTCAAAATTTCATGTTTCTACAGAGCTGACGGGAAGTGAAGTTTTAACCACAGCATTTGCACGTGCTCCCTGGTTTAGGCTTTCACACAGAACACACTGAAGCAAGTTCTTTACATAAAGGCAGCAGTGAAACCCAAGGAGCTGTTAAGTGAGAAGTAAGCACACACCTACATATAAAGCTGTTTTCCCACTGGCATGTTCCCACATTTGCTGGTTAATTGTCTCAGATGCTCTTAAAAGCTGCATTCTAAATTAAAATACATGTGCCATTTTTTCCCATGCCCATTCTGTGACTTATCTCTTTTTTTTTTTCCTTTGTTTAATAAAAGAGAGACCTGAGACTTGACAGAAAGGTGTGGACTACAGTCATATTTTTCATAACCATTCCTTTAACTGATTGTTTGGTCATTACATAGTTCTTAAAGGCAAGTGCACAATCACAGCAGTGTCACAGAAAATAGCTGTCATTTAATCAAAGGTCCTAATGCAATTTTCATTCTTGCTCGAGTTTTGTTGTGCTTTTTTTCAAGGGAAGAAATCTGGCACTGCTTTGTTCTCACACATTATTTGCTTCTTTCAGATTATAAGATACACAACTTTACTGTGTTTATTTCTGGAACAGGCCAGCAAGACTCAGAGTAATTGAAAACTCTGACTTTTTACTCTGAATAATTTAAAGCTTTTTTTTTCCTGGCCTTAAAAAAGAGTGCACATGCACTCTTTATATATACATCATCTGTATATATAAAGTTGCCTAAAGGAATATTTGTACCTGCACTGCAATTAATATCAGCAGTTGCTGCTGGTTGGCTACACCTGCCTCAAACCTGAGCACACTCCATCACATCCACTTGGAGCTACTGCCCTCCTTTACATCAAAGAATTTTGAGCTCAAAAAGCTCTACCGCTCAGAAAATGGAATTTTTATACCTGAAAGTAACAGTACAAAGTGTAATACCAGCACCTCATCTACACAGGGTAAAGAATGAGAACACTGAGATTCAAATTCATTCTCAAGCAGCTAATTCTTCAGATATTCAGCAGGCAAAAGGTGAGAAAACATCTGAGAAAAATGGACAGAAATTTCCATACAGCAGTTTCTGAGGTCAGAAGCCTGAAGTGAAATTGCTCTCAAGACTGACATCACTCAACTCACAACAGGAAGAAGTTTGATTACAGTTCTCAAATTAACCTCATGAGTCCAAGAAGAGGCTGAAGAATTGTTGTATAGACCAACAATAAATCAATAGCAAGAGGCATCCCATTCACAGGGGCACCAAGAATGAGAGCCTTAAATAACAACCTGTATATGTCTGCCAGTCATTAACTCAGTTTAATCTTAACACCAGGCTTTACCTTGTTCCTCTTTTTTACTCATCATCATAACTAAAATTCTTCCAGGTTAGAGGAAGGAAATTACTCATACACTGCTGGAAGGTCAGTGACTTAAGTACTTTAACCACAATCAACAAAGAACAAACCAGACAGGGAAATGGTCACCCACAGGGAAAATGTCTTGGCCCTCAGATTGCTGCAAAAGGTGTTTAATGGGAGCTGATGAGTAAGGGCCTGACAAACAAAAGAACACCTGTAAAACAACCCCCAGATTTTTCAGCCTTAGTCACTTCAACCCTTCTCAGTAACTCAGACCAAAGGCCGGAACACAGAAGGGGATTTTGGGACCAGGGAGCTGCAACTGAATTTCAGCCTCCCTGAAGGCTCCCAAGTCTGTATGGAAAACTAAAAAGCCTGGGCATTGCCTTTTTGATCCTTCTCATTAAAAGATGAGCATCAAATTAGCAAGCAAATAGCTGTTAAGAGTTGAGTTTCAGAAGCTCAAAGTACCAAGGCACAGGCAAAAGCACCACAACAGTCACGAGTCCAGGGGAAAAGGAGCCTGGGACCCTCAGGAAAAAATTATCACTCGGTGTTTGAAAAATGTAAGATTTATGGTCCTCAGACTGAGCCAGCCAAGCCCAAAATCCCTTCACCAAAACTGCAGATTGATTTGACCATTTAAAATAAGGGTGATGCTGTGAGAACCAAGCAATGGGCTTGTCTAACACCTTGATGGAACCCCAAAACAGCAGGTGCTATACATCAGTTTGGACCTAAATTTGTACACATGTGGATACCTCATCCTGAAGCAAAAGCACATTTTCAAGGTGTATGCTTTGCCCCCACTTTGGTAACAACACCCTCAGCATGAAACATTTCCTGGTGATTAATAGCAGGGAAGAGAGAAGGGACTACACGGAGCTGCTCCCAGGCACTGACTCAGAAACACACCACTCCATCTGGGCTGTTTAAATCCTCTTCTGTCCTTTCAGTTAAGGTGGGAAGAAAAGCAAAACACAACTTGAGGGAAAGGTTCTTCAGATAAAGAACTTCTGAGGGCTATGGGAGAGAAACACCCAAAAATCCAAACAGCAAAACAAGGGAACACATCAAGTCTTGGCAACTTTTGTTATGTGTGTCTATGGCAAATGCTGGGCAGTGATTCCAGGCTCCACCTCAGGAAGAGTTTCAGCTTTGGAAGCAGCTGGTAGGACAGAACACAGGACTAACCCCAAGTAATTCTGCATCTGTACCAGAATCAAATGAAAGGTATGCATTAAATATAGTGTATATTGTGAAGTAATTTTGCCTAGACAGCTATTTCCATTATAAGCCTAATAAAAATTGCTATAAAAGGGTTGACATTTCTCTGCATCAGTGGTCAGCACAGCTGCTTTCAGTTAGGAGGCAAATGCCAGAGCTCTATTAACAATACTAGTTATAGCTTGTAGTCCAGCCATAATACATTCCTTCAACAGCCACGTTGGCAATTACTTCAAACCACAGAAGGTTTCACACTACTGCAAATGCTGTGGTGCTCATCTCTAGAACCCTTGCAGTGTTTCTCCTTGCAGCTGGACAAAAATCAAAATAAGGGCAAAAATCCTAAGTACAACAGAAGAACAGTGAGGGAAGGGCTGCATCAGCAACAGAAAAAGCAGGGACTACTAAACACATGCAGAAGAGGAGAGTGAGGCAGCCAAAAGTTTCCTCAAATCAAGCAGCCAGGGGAACAAATGAAGTCAGAATCTTAAATCCAGTCTGTTTGCTATCTCCTAGTGCTATTACCAGAATAATGCATAAGAGTTTCTGAGTTTGCAGTAAGAGAAAAGTGGAGTCAGCTCACTGCTGGAAGAATTCTGCAATCCAGGGGCTGGCTCATCTCTGGAAAAGAAACAACCTGCATGCACAGTTTAATTCTATACACAACTGAATAGAAAACATCTTGCAGCCTACAGCCTCATTCCATCTGACACAGATTTCACTTGAAAAGCGTTAATTTTGATTTCTAACAAGTGAAAAATATATTCTCAAACATTTCCTTTCTGTTAGCAGGTAATGGCATCATCATAAAGGTATTTTAGTGGGATATCTTTCTTGAAATGTTTTAAATATTTCAAGACAACAAACTCTTGACAGATTTCATTTCAAAAAAACCTCCAACAATTAAAATACCTCCAGGCATCTGGTGCTGGACCCACACCATGCCTCTGAAGTGGATGCTGAGCCCGTCTGAAAGACCTGCAAGTCTCAAAGGTGACAGAAAGATGATTAAGGCAGGTGTCTCTGCTTGTCTTCTTAAGCCTTTACACAGTATGACACCCTTTGCAGATTATAATAGTAGTTCATCCTCTGATTTCAGAGGTTTTCTACCCTACCTAATACCTTGCTGACAACCAGGGAACTAATTTCATCAAGATTCTCATATTGTTCCCCACTACGTGACAGAGGCCAGGCCTACACGGTGACATCTTTTAAATGAACATCCCATTTCAACAGAGGGGATTTGCTATTTGTGATCTCCTCCTCCTGTCAGTAAAAACTGCAATATGATTTGAGTGTTCTGATTTTAATATGCTATTATTAAACAGCCTGGAGCACTTGGTATGAGGCACACGGTAAAATAAAGCTCTGTGAGAAGACAGAGTTGCAGGAGACAGCAGCACTTTGGATTTCCTTAATTATCTCTGATCTCCAGCACTGTCCCTTTGGAAAGTGAGGTGGGAGAAAGCCACTAATTGGAATATGGAGCTCCACTGCTGCAGATTCTGTTGTTTCAGCCGAAAGGAGTCAGAAGAGAACAATGTTGGTAAAAATCTGACCCAGAAAGTAAGAGCCACACACACCTGAGGCCTCAAAGGACTTGGCTGCAGCTGAGAACAAGCCAAAGGCAACTGGAGAGAAGGAAAACCAACACAAGGTGTATTTTGTCCAGCTGTCAAAATGTGATAAGCTGTGGCAGACTCTCAAGTTCTCAGTAAACTACTTACCAAGCACCTCTTCAAAGAGTAATTCCCCCGGGCACTTACCCCCTGCCCTGGGCAAGGACCCCCCTTGGGGCTGGGGATGCCAAAACCAGCAGGTTTTAACTGGCACAAGAACAAAGTGGGGAATCTCAGGCTCCCCCTGCACAATTTCAACTGGTATCATATAATTATACAACACAGGCATCTAAGTTCAAGGCTTTCACATGCACTGGTTTTTCTGCAGCCCTCAAAAGACTGAGTCACTGAAATCATTATCAAATCATAAAGGTCTCCAGCAACTGAAAAACAAATCTCACCACCTTCTACCAGGCTGTTTGATTAGATAAAACTCACCACAGACATAACACTCGTAACTCATTCTTTTTTCCATTATTGCCAGAGCCTTCTGAAATAAGAAATTACTGTCATATATCATCTCATGAGAGATAATAAAAGCATAAAGAATTCAGTGAACAGACTGAATTGAGGATCACAAGAACACATCCATACTCATTTGTCTTAAGCTGGAAAGTTTTACTAAAAAAAAAAAATAAACATCAAGCCACATTTTACTTTGAACAGCCCATTTTTGTAATTTTTAGAACCACGAACAAGTATTCCCAACTCCTCATATCACATTCTACCACATTTAGCAAGAAATATTACTTGAGACTGTATGAATTCAGCAAGGTTATTGAGTTTTATAGTATAAAGGTCCATTAATTTTTAAAAACACTAATCTGGAAGCTGCAAGGGAGTAATATTTTACTAGAGATGGCATTATGAATAGTTATTTTCTACAGGACACTTAACAGAACTTGGCAACCACCCATTTACATCAGTAAATGTAACATTATTCCCCCCTCAGCTGCCACTGTGAAGAAGCAACAAAAGACAGGTAACTACAGAGAATTCCCAAGCAGATCATCTTCCAGGGAGATACAACAGTGCAGTGCTTCAGGTTAACACTTCCAGAAGCCTCCAATCTGCTACCAAACAACACTGCCAAAAAAAAGGGGTGAGATCCCTTCCTGATAGCTCTGGGAACACAGTGCTGGTGATGTAAAACCTCCAGACTGTAAGTATAGAACTATTACCTGAATTTTAAGTTCTCGTTGTAACCACTGACTAACAATTCTATGATTTAAATCATATGCCCCTACGATCTATCAGAAAATCCACAGTCACATTCCTAGGTATGAAATAAAGAAAATAAAAAAATCTTACAATTTGTATTTCACAAAACTGCAGTTTACAAAGAATACACCCACTCTGGAACAGTCAGACATGTCTCTGCCCAGCACACCCTGCTTGCTGTGCAAGGTGCCTCTGACTCAGAAGCACTTGGCCAGTGAGGAATATTCAAAAAAACAGAAGCCAAGTAATTTAATTTGCTGCTGGAATAGGGCTTTTTAATCAATATTTTAGAAACTTAAACAAGACAACCTGGTAGATGCATCTGCCACAGCAAAAACAGGGAAGAGAGTCAAACATTTACACTTTTCCCTCTCGATGTAAAGACGAGCCAGCTTCTGTATTTCAGTTGTTCAACTGCAAACAGTGACAAAGAAACTAGAGTAGTTTAACCAGAGAATTAATAGATTTGCTTTTCACAATAACCATCTAGGTTTTCTAAGCAGGGCTGGACTGGTTTCTGAAAGCAGCTCAATCAGGTGCACAGATGGCTGAACAGAATAGAGAGAGATTTGCTTACAACAAGGTTAATTTTCATCAAAATGCTTGTCCTTTTAGGAGCACTTGCCAACAGAAGAGCAGGCCAACTCTGCTTTCTATTCTGTTGGAACAGTTTCTCAAGTTTCCTGGAAGAGTCTGTTCTTGGCAAATATAACTCAAAGGCCATTTTTGCATTGACAACAACATTGCTCCTGAAATCAAATGGATGATCTTGCTGGGATGGATAACACCAGCCTAGATAAAGCAGTTCGGGTTTATTTTGGGGCAGAGAGAAAAGCAAAGCTGATATTAGACATCCAAAGTCAAGTTAGACTTGACCATTAGAAGTTTGTTCATATGCTCCATATGCATGTTCATGGGACAGTTGTTCAGTGGAACAAATCAGATTGCAAATTGTTAGTTAACAGTGACTCTTATTTTCCAGGTGCATCATAAATCAGCTTCCTGAGGCATCATCAGCTACGTAAAAACTGAAACCAAGTCATGACTGGGACTATTTCAACCCTTAAAACAACCCAGGGTAAAGGAGGAACGTTCATACTCACTTTGAAAGAGAAACACCCCCGGCTTTTCCAATCATCTCTTCGTGGTGCAGCACTGCTTGGTTCCATGGGATGCGGAGAAACTTCAGGAGAGTTCTCATCCACCTTTCAGGATGCAACACAAGTTGCTCATAGTGCACCAGCATACACCTTTCAAACCCAACCTCCATGCACTGGTTGTACATGGTTTCTATAGCACGGTTCCACTTGGTCAGGCAGTCCCTGTAGCTGTTCAGGTCAAATCCAGCTATTGTGACTTTTCTAGATATCATGGAATGCACTGATGCACGGCCATCCCGTACCATCAGGAGAAATTTGGCATTGGGGAAAATCCTAGCAAGATAAGTTAAGGATTTTAAAGCAAAAGGATCTTTGTTACACAAGTAGGGCGCAGGCTCCCCGTGTTTGACGATGATTTCCAACAGAAACGCCTGCATGGCCGAGTCCAGAACCTCATCCGTGACTCCGGCTTCGTCCAGCCGGATCTTCTCCTTGCTCGACCTCGCCCACATCTGCTTCACCGCCAGAATCCGCGGGATCACCCTCGTCTCCTCCCCGCAGCGAATGTCCGGGTGGGCGTCCAGCATGGCCCGCATCAGGGTGGTGCCGCTGCGAGGGACTCCCCCGATGAATATCAAAGGCATGTCCTTGTTGTAGGCAAAGGTTTTGGTCGCATTCCCACTGGGAGCAGTTCTCACCGTGCTCCTCACGCCCTCCGCCCTCCCGGGCTGGCTGCGCTCCTCGATCCGGTGGTGACATTCCATGGCGTGCTGGCCCAGGTAGAACACCGTCACCGAGCTGATCACCAGGCACGCCAGCAGCAAGTTCTGTTTGAGTTTTCCCACCATTTTGGTTTAAAGACTGTCACTTCAAAGTAAGGAGACCTTCTAGTCTGAATTATCTTCTAGTTCACGTGCCATGGGAATCCTCCGAAATAAATTAAGGTCTGTCAAAGGGGAGGAAAAAGTAAAGAAAAAAAATTAGAACATTTTTAAGAACTACTACAATAAATCAACAGAGCAATTATTTCTCCAAGCTGTAATGAGATGAGATTAAGGCTGAAACCCCAAGAAACACAAAATAAACCCAAGGTTTTTCATTATTTTTTTTTCCAGTTCAGCTTCTTAAAATTGCATTATTCAAAAGTCATTTCAATTTTTACAAATTGAAAGAAACCAGACTATATTAGACAATTTCTGGACATGTCTTAGAGTCTGAATAAAACTTTTAGATAGAAACAAAAGATTTAAATGTCTGTCTGCTGAATTCCAATGTAGACATTTACAAGAAGGATTAAGAACATGCCATGTCCTACAGTGAATACCAGAGGGTTACATCCAACACTGGCTTACAGAAATCTGCTGCCTGGATGATTCAATCTGTTCTTGCCAACCTGTAACTGTGATGCCTGGAAAAAAATAAAGATAATGTACAGACAGTCATTTTACCTGTGTTCTGTAGTTCAACTGCTTTGGATTTTCAGATAAGATAGGCTGAAAACTGACTCTTCCTCTCAGAACTCAAACCAAATTGGTACTCTAATTGAATTTTCAAGTACGAGCTGGCTGCTCAGGGCGGGAATAGCTCCGTGAACAGTCTGAATCACAGATGCTTTTAATTGTGAGGATCTCCAAGCGCTGAGGTACCGCCAACTTTTTAAATGACTGGCTTCCTCAAAGCTTTTCCATCTCTGTCAGCAAGGCACAGCACATCCCTGACTGAAGAACACCCTTGTGCCTACTCCCTCCAAAGCATTATCCACTTAACCTTTCCCTCCACGCCAATCCAGTCGGTAACTCGGAAGGCAGGATTTGCGCAAGGCCCCGTCCCCCCGCGCTCCACAGCCCCTGTTCGTGAGGCTGGGCAGCCACACAGGCAGAGCACCCAATTCCCACTCAGCACCACAGCAGTGCAAGGGGAAAAAAAAAAGGAAGGAATTCCTCATGCAGGCATCTGTCACAGCAGTAATTTTCCATCCAAGAGAGCCGGTCACCAACCTGCACGAGAACGCCTCGCCCCTTCGCGCTAACAAAGCTTATTCCAATCAACAGCTGTCACAATGCTGCACTCAAAGTTCAGCTTCTAGTCTTTGTTACCAAATTTAAACTGGAAATATAGCTTGAAGATTAATTCACTTCTTTTTCTGTAAAGCAGCCAAGGAGCTCCCCACACTCTCTGGCCAGAATATGGCTCTTATAAACAATTCATCCTCTGTAACACGTTTCATTCTACTTACGTACCTCTCCTTGCTGAAGAGCTGGCTTTAACTGTATTTTAAATATCTGAATATTAAAAAAAACCCAAACAAACCAAAACAAGTTCCCAGAAGTTAAACTGGAGGTCATCTGAACAATGCTCAAAAAGAAAGAAAAATGTAGATCGTGAAGTCAATACTTCCATAGCACCAAGAATCAGAAAGTTTCTCTTCAGAAAGATTCAGCATGCAGACCTAACTTACAGTTAGGGAAGGTGAAACTGTTCTGCTTAAAACTAGCAAAAAGTACACAGAATCTCTTTGAATTCTTTAGAGACAGTAAAGATTTAGTTAAAAGTCAGTACTCATTCAAGAGAAAAGTTAACACAACTGAAACAGTGTTTTACCACAGAGCACACAAGACCTGCAAATATTTACACTTCATACAATCCCTAACATTACTCAGTTTGAGTAAATTCCATAAAATTAAAAACCTTCCACAAAAATCTCCATCTTCCAAACTAAAAACCACTCCTTGAAATCAGTAATGTTCTTCTAAAGTAACTGGTAAGTGATCATTAGAGGAAAACGTAGCAAGACCGAGGGCATCCACTGCTTTACTCCGGTCATTTCTATCAGAATATCACTCCAAAGCAGAACAAAACCAACACCAGCTTTCACAACAAGCAGTGCTGGAGGAAAGCCTGGAGACTGAAGACTGAAATCCTCAACTCACAGGTTGGGTAAAGCAAAATGATGACTCATGCTGGGCACAATTCCAGCTGGGAATGCAAAGGAGCCTTGCAGCCTGTGAGTGGGTTGAGTACTGACCACTCACCTACACCACCAAACCCCCACCCACGTGACAAAAAGCCCACATCAATCGACCACAAATACTTTCATTTGATGCAGTAACTTGCTTGGGTAAGTTCAAAGATGCCAAAGGCTGTGAGACCATAAAGGACCAGAATTAAACTCTTCCATAACCTTCTGTATTGTTTTTTTTTTTTTTTGCCTGGAATCAATACCTGGAGCCATAAACTGTGGCAAGACCAGGGCTTTGTATGTCACGAAACCGAGAGAGGAGCGGTCAGAAACAGCTCCTCTCAGCAAATTAATCTATTCTATGAGCCAGCAAACTCCCCTCTGGGCCTGAAGTTACAAGTAAAGCTCTTTGGGATATATATGACATATGGAAGTTACTGCCCTTCTAACAGCCTGCAAATCAACCCCACCTTCCCCCTCCTCCCCATGCGTAAGTGCTCTGGAGCACATCTGTCAACCTGAAGGATTATAGAAGTTATTACTGCTCTGCTGTTGACAGTAACTAAACTGACAGCATTCAAAAAAAATCACAACAAGGCAATTAGCAATCCCTTGTCAGCATTTAAGCAGAGCTTTGAAATATTGCTTTTACCAACTATGACCCAAGGAGAGCAAAGTGTCACTCACCCTACAAGCACAGACAACTTTTTAATAAAAATACCCCAAACCAAACAAAAAACATAACTCACCCACTACAAACAAACACAACCCCCTAACACACACAACACAGTGAGGAAGTTGCAGATGATTACAATGATTACAATGGTAGAGAGGCCTTTGGCAGCACGTTTCAAATGACAGACTAAAGAGAACTCCCAGAAAAATTTAAGTGTAACTCAAAAAAAAAAAAAAAAAAAAAAAAAAGAATTAGGATCTACAAGTTTCATCACAAGAAAGTGCAGCCAAGCAGAATTGTATGTAACTGAGTTTTATGCCCAGAAAAGTCAGGCCTATGAGTCAGCCACTAGATGATGTTAGTAAAGCAAAACCGACTGCTTTGTTTCCTTCTGCTGCAGACACTCATTCCCCTTCCCTCCCCCTGCATGCAGCAGGTCAAGACCTTTTCCCTTGAGTTCATCCAAAAAATGTTGAAGATTTTTAGCTTAGTCAAGAGGCAAATCATTCATTTGTATTTTATGTTAGAACAGTTCAGGTCTTGTTGTTGTTTGAAACATCCCCTGCCAAAGGAAAAAAAGATGTTCCTTTACCACCCAATCATGAGGAATCCTCTCGAGCTCCAGAGCTCAGACTTTCACTTTGGAGGCTGGAAAGGGACCACCTCCCTTCTCATGTTCAACCAGACAGCTTTTTTCCAAGGTTAAATTGACAGGACAGCAACACTGGCATTATCCATCTCAAAAAAAATTCCAACTCTACATATATATAAAGCATTTTACAGTGATTAGCTTGTCCTCTGCTTCCATGTCTCAAGCTTTTGGCTCAGATTCTGATAACAGGATCATCTTCTGGGAAGGGCGAGTATGGTGGTACAGCTTAGATTTTTGTGGAGTGTGTCTTGTTCCTGCAGCTGCCCAAGTGCACTGAACAACTTTCCTTTATAGTTCACAATGTAAAAATAAATACTGGAAAGGCAGCAACTACTGAGAATTCTCAAGAATCATCTTTGAAATAGTCCATTTAGAAAACTGGAGACAATATATTTTTTAGAGGAAGTTCTATATTAAGCTGATCAAATAGTCCAAGTTGCACGCAGTGTTAAGTCTGTCAGCATCCCTTAATGAAAGCTAAAGAAAGGAATTCCCTGACACCTTTCCTTCAATGAACTGGTTTGTTTCTGGTTGGTTGTGCGTGTTCACCACAAAGAAGATTGCACAGGAAAGCCAAGTTACATGACAATGGTATAGCACAACACTGGGGAACACAGCTGAAATATTCCCAGAACACCACTTCAAGGAGCCACCCAAACCATCACAGGCTCATTTAGAAGACTGCTCCAAAAACAATTTGAGTATTCAGGAAGCATTTTTATCCCTTCAAAGCAGTGTTTGCACAATCACCTTAATGATTCCCCCAAAGACTGGATGTGTGTTACCACCAGTCACGGAACAGCACCAGGAAGCAAATCCCAAGCAAAATACTCAAAGCTAAAAATAAAAATCAAGAAGCCTTGAGTAGCAAGTCCATCTTTAGCTGTTTAAGTCCTCATGGTTCTCAAGCCCTGCAGCTGTTTCCCCCCCAGATTTCTCCTCCCATTAGTCATATAGGAAAAAAAAGATGATAAAATTGAATGAGCAATTTTTATTCACCTCCACAAAGAAATAAGGAGTCCACAGAGAACTAACCAGTGGCAGAAAGCATCTGGGATGAAAGACAGCAAACTTGACCTAGTGAAGCCAGTCTTCCTGAAAAGCAGTTTCACAGCTAGAATGACAGAACAAAGATGGACAAGATAAGGGAATGCAGATGTGTGAACAACTTTCCCTTATAGTGCAAACTGCAGGAGCTTTAGAAATACTGTTCACACATTTGCATTCCCTTGAACCTACAAGGTTCAAGGTTGCTTTTTTTTTTTTAAACTCTAAAGCTCTGAGAACTTTAAAAGGCCAGATTAACCTTCATGGTCATACTCTATTGCTGAATCTTAAATTTCTATAATAGGTGAATAACACATACAACTATGTGATAATTCCACAATTTCTAGTACAGTCATGTTACAAAGAGTAAAAAAAAATATGCTTTTTATACATTATTATGCATTTCCATCCTATAATCAGTAAGAGATAAAGAAAGCTGTATACTTTCCTTTTACCAGTTATCCCCCTCAAAAAGACACCCCTAAATCTAACTTTCTTCATAATCCTCCATTAGTCAGATAAATAGATACACACATGAATAAATACATATGTGTGTACAGAGAAATTCAGAAGTGTCAGTCCTTCCTCTGAATTTAGCAACACTTACAGGTTTCCTTAACAACCATTAGAAAAAACATACCAAAACAGCCAATAAGGTTATCAAAGCACTTAAAATTCAACTAATTGAAATTCAGCTAATTAAAAAGCTCTGCTTCAAGTGAAAGAAAATAACTCCATACGTTCTGCTCTACTTACATATATGACATATAGAGAAAATTATCTGTATTTGCACATAAGATGGTCAAAAAAGAGTTACCAACATGCTCCCGGTTATGCAAGAATAAACAGCATTTGTTAAGTTCTACAGTTACTGCTTGAGAACAATTCAACGAGAGGAATTTTATTGGCAACACACAGAGGCTTCAGGCTCTTTCAAGTTACGTATAAAGGAAAAAGAAAGGGAAAAAAAGATGAAAAAAAAGTCAGTGGCACCCTAAGAGCAGATGAGCTACCGCTCTGTGCACTTTTATACGTGCTGTGGCTCCGCAGAGGGATTTCAGCACCCCGTTCCCCGGGTAAGGCACTGCAGAGAACCGAACTGCTTCACAAACACACGGACCTACAGAAATCCGCACAACACGTTCCCCGGAGCAAACGCAAACGGGCTCATTCCAGCAACGCCAGCAGCGAACCCACGTCCAGCTGAGCGGCACATAAAAGTCCAGGGCTGCAAAGCTGTAAATCTAACGGGGCGTGGAGTAACCCGGGCTAGTGGAAGGTGTCCCTGCCCGCGGCAGGGGCTGGAACGAGAGGAGCTTCCCCGTCCCTTCCGACCCAGCCATTCCCCGACCCCCTGCCCGCGACCGCCGCACCCGCAGGTACCACCCCCGCCGCCCCCGCGGGCACTCCGAGCCGCCCCGACACCGCTCCGCCGCCGAACAAAGCGCCGGGCGCTCCTCCAAGCGAGTTCTCCCGCCCCGCACGGAAACTTTGGGATTTACCCTGCAGGGATCCGCGGGGAGCAGCGCCCCGGCCCCGCGGCGCATCCTGCGGGAGCACGGCCCGGCCCGAGCCCCGCGGGCACCGACCCACTCCCGCCGCCTCAGGCCGCGGCCGCCACAGCCCGGCCGGGACTGAAAACGGCGCCGGGACTGAAAACGGCACCGGCACGGGCGGGGCAGGGCGGGCACGGGGAGTGGCGGCTGCCGGGGCCGCCCCGCCCGCCCCAGGTGCGGCCGCGCCCTCACCTGCGCTGCTGCTGCCGCCGCCCCCGCGCCGGGCTGGAGCCGCGCGGCAGCGGCGCCGCCGCCCCTCCTCCGCCGCGGCTCCGCTCGGGCACCATCGCAGTGGGCAGCGAGCGGGATCGCGACAGGGACCGGGGTCGCGACAGGGACCGCGATCGCGACAAGCACCGGGGTCGGGACCGGGAGCGGCCGCGCCGCCGCCGCCGCCGCCTGCCCTGGAGCCGCGCGGCTGCGGCTGCCATGGAAATCACAACCACGCCCTGATTGGTCGCGGGCCTCGATGTGTCGCGGGCCGCGGTTGGGCCGGAGCGGATGATTGGCAGCTGAGGGGGCGTGGCCGCTGCCTCTCCCCCCGCGGGCGGGGCCTCGGGAACATCTGGCGCGCACAGCTGGGCCGGGCGGCGCGCGCGGGCACATCTGGGCGGCGCCGCCGCCACGTGAGCGTCTGGAGGGGCCCACGTGCACGCACATCTGGCCAGCTGTGCCAGGCGGATGTTGGGAGAGGGAGCCCGGTCACCGCTCACACCACGAGAACACACACCCCCCCGCACCCCCCGCGTTGCTAAAGGTAAAGGCTGGTTCTCACACAGGGATATTTTGGCGAGTGCTGCCGCTCGGTTTGCCTTTTGCAGGTGGGTCTTGCAGGTGAAACCATCCCAAACACACAGTCCCGCTGTCCCGGGCAAATGTCTGAGTGCAGTGCTCCAACTGCAGCCCTGTAAGTTGAGGAAAGTCACAGCCAAGCATCACAACAGGCACGAGGCGCTGACGGCCCCGCTCAGGGCTCAGGTGTCCCCGGGGGTCACACACCTGGTCTGCAGCAGTGGGGAAGCACAAGCCACGTGCCCACCACGTGTGCGACTGTGAAAACATCTGGAATAGCGTCAGGCTGCAGCACAAGCCTGAGCCTGCGCCAGCTGCTGGCACATCTCCCAACTGCTCTGACCCACAGCCGGGTGAGTTGGCCAGGCAAGGAATGAGGATGACCTGCAGCAGCTCTTTTGCCCCTGGAAGTGCAGCTCTAGGAGGAGTCTCACCTCTATAGATTAGTTCATCTCTGACAAAGGGTGGCCCTAGGCCATCCTAACCACTTCCTTCTCGGTGCTCCATGCAGAGAGCCAACTTTTGTTCCTCAAGAGCAGGAAAACAGGTTGAGTTGGACTCGTTAACATTAACATAGTGATATGTAAAAGCTAAATCAAACTGAAAACATATTTCTTCTTTACATACAGAAGCTCTGGCCCAGCAGCTGTCACTGTTTGCAGACAAACACCCTGTGGAAATGCCAGTGCTGCTGCAGGGTCATATCAAGGGGAACAATCCCACGGGATATTCCCCAAATTTGTGTTGCTTGTCCCTGCTCATCCACAACAGATGTTTGTGCCCTTTGCCCTCTGTGTCCCAAATCCTCCTGTGGCTGGGACACCCCCTCTGCCATCCCTGCAGCAGAGCTGGCAGCTGACCAGAGCCACGAGACTCGAGGGCTCGGGGCTGGGAGATGGCACCAGCAGCAAGATCTTGGTATAAAAAGGATGGAAACCACCATGTGGGAAAACATCCCCTTTTAATCCTGAAATCCCTCATATCAGATCTGACTCTCTGTCCTGTCTCCCAGAGGGATGGTACAAATCCCTCGTGGCTGGGGCGACAACCAGCTGGGCTTTGCCATCATCCGACTCATGGGATGGGGCCTGAGCTGACAGTGATACCATCAGGATGGGGGAATTAATCACAGCCCATTACCTCGTGTCTCAGGGCCCTTGCAAAGTGCCTGTTATAAAACTTTTACGAGCCTGTCAGGACATGGTTTCCACTGACACTGAACTGCCTGGAGAGCTGACACGGAGGAGCTCTTGTGCTGCTCCTGCTTCACTGAGGTGGTGAAAAAGCATCACTGTCAAAAGGGGTGAACACAGTGTAGCTCATAGCTGTTTTATTTGCTAAGAAAATAAGTATTTTCTTAGCAAACAAATATTTTCCATGTGAGCAGATACCTGTGTTCACCACAGTGACGAGTATTTTCATTATATGGAAAGTTCTGCCCTGCAAGGACTGAGTTTCCAGAGTACTCAACACCCCTAAGGCTTTTCAGCTCAGGGAGCTGCTGGGAGCACAGAAAAACCAACAACTCCTTTCAGGTGGTAAAATCCCTCCCCCATTTCTCTTCTCTGACAGCTGTTGATGAGGAATAAATGTCCTTTGCTCCCAAATGCAGCTGGATTTGAACTAACGATTTAAAGATGAAACAATCTGTATCCTGTTTCCAGTAAGTTTGCCTCAATCCATTAAACAGCACTTTTCAGATGGCTTTATTGGTTTTTCTTTTATGGCTTTAACTGTGACTCACAGAGATAGTCCCTTTTAAAGCCTTCCAATCTGTGGCAATCAAACAGTACCTCCAGGGGGGAGAAAATGCTGTTCTCCAGGGGGAAGGGGGAAAGCAGGATGCTGCTGTATGAAGCAGACAGAGCTACTGTGTGTAGTGGGTGCCCCACGCTGGGCCCTTCTTTAATCAATGCTCACCCGGGAGCCACAGATCAAATAACCCATCAAATATTGCATCACACAGCTCTCAGTACAGACAGAGCTCAGCTCCCGGCTGCTGCTGGTGGATAAACACCACGAGAAGTGATAGCACTCAATTGCTCATCTTTGACATTTGCATTGGCTCTTCCTTGCTGGCCTGTTCCTGTTTTGTTCCTTGGAAGTAATTCCTCCTCACCGCGGCTCAGGAGGAGCCCCCACCAAAGGTGCAGCTCAGGGGGAGCAGAGCAGGGGCTGCAGGGGCACAGCTCGGGGTCTGCAGAGCTCCAAGAGAAGCAGAAGAAGGTCCTGGTGGCTGTGCCTGCTTTTTGCCTGGTTTTCCCTCAGCAGAGACATGGCTTACTGTTGTTCCCATGCTTTAAGCTCCAGCTATGCGTGGAACTCCACATGGCATGTCTGGGACTGCTTGTGGGAGGAGGAGGAGGGAAGAGCATCCCTGAGTCCAGAAAGCTGGTGCTATTTAGAAGCCTACATCAAGCCCTTTTTCCCATGTTATTTCCAAACATGAGCCACAACATAAACCAAAGTTTTTCTTCACATCGCTGCTGTGGCAGAGACCAGCTGGACACTGTTGCCCAGTGCCTGTATCCATGCTCCCTCCAGGCTCTGGGTCCAGGGCAGGCTGGAGGAGCCAGGCAGGCACATCTTGCACAGCCCCAGGCAGCCCAGTCTGACACAGCTCCAGCAGCAGTGACAGATTTTGCCTCCTTACACCCATCCCAAGGCCTGCCTGGTGAGCAGCATCTTTCCTGCCACGTCACACAGTTTGCTGGGCCAGCATGTGAGCAAGCACAGTCCCCAACACTGCTGCCCTGACCTCTGTTAGCTGGAGGTCTGGCACATTCAGAGGCAAAAATGAGTCCTTTTCTCCCTCCCTGGACTTCCAGTCCAATGCTTTTCCTGACACCAACTCCACTCCAAAAGTATATTCTTCAATTCAATTCCAGTGTGATATTTAAAAGCAAGAGAAACCTTGCTACTCCAGATACTCTGGCCCTCATCCAGGAGTATTTTACCTTAATTCCACCTTCCCAATCCCAAGAATGCAAAGAATTTCCCTCTGGCTCTGTCCAGCTTATTCCTCTAGCCAGGAGCAAGGAGAGCTGAGCTTGCTGGCCAGTTCATGTTGGAACTGTTAAATATTATCCTTTTTCCTCGAATACCTCAGCAGCAGTTGCAGAACCCAGTTTTCCCTGGCTGTCTCGCACGAGGAGGATCTCTCCTGCACTGAGAGGCAGCTGGAGGAGGGTTGGTGCTTGTGGTTTTCATCCCCTAAACTCAGTAAAGGTGGTTTTGAAAGCCAGGGAGGGGTGAGGGGCTCAGCTGCCACTTCAGCCTCAAAAAAATCTCCCTGTTACCTCTGTTGTAGAAGGTTGTCTACAGATGGAGCCTTTACAGAAGGCATTGAGGGGACAGAGGGATTTGGAGGATACTGAAAGGATAAAGCACAAAGCAAGGGGGTTGGATTTCAGCTTGTCCTGTGTGTCTGGGAAATTCATTTGGCCTTTGGGTAGAAGCAATTCAGAAATTCCAGTCCTGTGTGTTCCCTGTGCTGTCTCACAGCTCAGAGCACTGGCTGGGCATCCTTCCCTCCCCCAGCAACCCTGCTAAGTGCTTAGTTGGCTCTGTGTCAAAGATGTGCTTAAGTCAATCCTGTTATCTGTGCCTTTATGGGTATGAACAAACAGCCCTCTGACCACGGGGAAAAGGATGGACTTAGCACCTTACTGACAAAGTCAACTGCCAACCATTAAATCAGCACGGATTTCAAGCCCTGGGCAGGTGCCTGGGGTGTCCCTCTCCACATCTGGGCCTCTGAGATGCCCTAAATTGATCTTGGGCTGAGGGTGATTCCAGACCCCTGAAGGAGGGGCAGGGAATGGGAACAACCCACTCCTGGCTGCACATCACAGCAGGATGGGGAGCAATGGGGCAGCTGGCACCCAGCACCACAACGGTGTCTGTAAACGCAGCTTGAGCCAAAAAACCCAGCCTGGACATTCAGGGAAGAATTACAATTCCCAGAGGAAGAGAAAGATCCAAGAACTGTGTTCACAAGCCTCTGAGTTTAGGGAAAACAGGCACCACGAGACATAAAGCTGATGACATTTTCTGCATCCCCTCACAGCAGGAGAAATAAGATAATTCTGCACCCAGAATCACACCTTGAACCTCCCACAGTCCATCCTGGGAGCAGACTAAACCTGTCAGCCCTGAACCAGTGAGGACACTGGTTAATTCAGAAGGATGCTGAAGTCTGTCTCAGTGACTCCCAGAGGAACACTCTTTTTTATTGCTTTTCTCTGCTACTGGTATTTTTCTGGCCTGGCTGCCTCATGTACTGATGACAGTGGCCATGCAAAGTTTGTCCTTGGCAGAGCAAAGTTTTCTCCAGGGGATGCTGGAGCAGACTTGGTGCCTGCACCCGTGGCTGGGGCCCTGCTGGGCATTTTTGAGAGCCATACAGTCTGTGTTCCACAGCCAAAGCCACCCAAACCAAGCCATGGGAATCACTGTGGGACCAGAAAGGTGCCATTCGTGGTATGTTTGCCTGCAAAAGGCCTCAGCTGCCAGCTCAGGGATCCACCTGAACTGCAGGCACAGCATCACCCTTGTGCAAACCTGAAAGCATCTTTCCTCCACCTCCAGCTTTGCCCTGGGCTCCCAGGCA